ATTTTTTAACTGGATTATTTATTTTTTGGGAGTGTTGAATTTGGTTAAGTTCTTTATACATTTTGGATACCCATCCTCTACCAGATATGTCACTTGCAAATATCTTCTCCTATTCTGAGTGTTGCCTTTCAGTTTTGTTGATTGTTTCCTTCACTGTGCAGAAGCTTTTGACCTTTATCTTCATTTTTGCTTTTGTTTCCCTTGCCTCAGGGGACTTAGTAAGAAGTTGCTATGGCTGATGTCAAAGAGATTACTGCTGTTCTCTTCTAGGATTTTAATGGTTTTTTATGTTATATTTAGGTCTTTCATTCATTTTGAATTTATTTTTGTATATGGTATAAAAAATGGTCCAGTTTCATTTTTTTTTTTTTTGCAGTTGTCCAGTTTTCCCAATACCATTTGTTGAGGAGACTGTCTTTTTTTCCATTGGATATTCTTTCCTACTTTGTCAAAGATTAGCTGATTGTTTTTTTTTTTTTAAGATTGGCTGATTGTATAGTTGTGTGTCTACTTCTGTGTTTTCTATTCTGTTCCTTTGATCTATGTGTCTGTTTTTTGTGCTGATACCATTCTGTCTTGATAACTATAGCTTTGTAATATAACTTGAAGTCCAGAATTGTGATGCTTGCAGCTTTGCTTTTCCTTTCTTTGCTGGCTTTAGGCTTCATTTGTTGTTCTTTTTCTAGCTCCTTTAGGTGTAAGATTGATTACGTATATGAGATTTTTCTTGTTTCTGGAGCTAGGCCTGTATTGCTATATACTCCCTCTTAGGACTGTGTTTGCTGCATCCCAAAGGTTTTGGATTATTGTGTCTCATTCATTTGATTCCATGTATTTTTTTTTAATTTCTTCTTTAATTTCCTGATTGACTCATTATTTTTAGTAGGATGTTCTTTAGCCTTCATGTATTTGTGGTCTTTCCAAACTTTTTCTTTTTCTTGCAGTTAACTTCAAGATTCATAGTGTTGTGGTTTGGAAAATATGCATGGTATGATCTTAATATTTTTGTACTTGTTGAGACCTGATTTGTGACCTAATATGTGATCTATTCTGGAGAATGTCCCATGTGCACTTGAAAAGAATGTTTATCCTACTGCTTTAGGATGAAATGATCTGAATAAATCTATTAAGTCCATCTGGTCTAGTGTGTCATTCAAAGCCATTGTTTCCTTGTTGATTTTCTGCTTAGTGTTCATTGATGTAAATAGGGTGTTAACATCCCCTATTACTGAATCATTATCAATGAATTCCTTATGTTTGTTCTTGTTTTATATACTTGGCTGCTCCCAAGTTGGGGCATATTTACAATTATTAGATCTTGTTGGATAGACCCCTTTATTATGATATAGTGCCCTTCTTCATCTGTTACAGTCTTTTTTTTCCCCCTAAAATTTCAGATATTTATTATTCAGTGTAAAACCCAACACATACACCAACATGATTTCGTGCATTTAGAGGGTAAATATTTCCTGGATAAGTGGAAAATTGTGCAGATGGCTTCTGGAAGACCTTCATTCTAAGCAGCTTTATAGTGAAACATTTCATTTAGAAGTCTGGACCTTCTTTCTTCAGTTTGCTGTAATCTACATTAACTGAGTAGAACTTGATCATTGGGACCCAGTTTGTTCCAAGGTTCTGGGTTATTCTTCCTATCCCAGTTAACATCTGGATTGAACAATGCCAAGTGCAACACATACAGCACTGCTCCAGTACCTCCTGCCCCAATAAATATGAAGAGGGGGATCAAGCTTGGATGCTTCTTGGCCTGACTGATGATCTGGCATAACATGGTTGCGGCAGAGGTCTTCCATGCAGAAGGAAAAACCCGAGTTGCTGCAAGGCCCTGAACTAAGTAATGCCTCTTGTTAGTCTTTGGTTTAAAATCTTGTTTGTCTGATAACAAGTATTCCTATCTGGATTTCTTTTGACATCCATCACCATGAAAAATATTTCTCCTTCTCCTCACTTCCAATCTAGAGGTGTCTTTAGGTCTAAGATGAGTCTGTTATAGGCAGCATATAGATGGCTCTTGTTTTTTAATCCATTTGACTCCATAAGTTTTTTGATCAGAGTATTAGGCCATTTACATTCAGGGTAATTATTAATAGACATGAATTTACTACCATTTTATTGCTTATTTTGTCATTTTTTCCCTGTAGATTTTGTTTCTTTCTAGTCTTTTTTCCCCTTAATATTTCCTGCAGGGCTTATTTAGTGCACAAAAACTCCTTTAGTTTTAGTTTGAGAAACTCTTTATCTCTCCCTCAATCGTGAATGATAGCTTCCTGGATAGAGTATTCTTGGCTGTAGATTTTTCCTATTCAGCATGTCGAACATATCATGCCACTCCTCTCTGGCCTGCCAAGTTTCTGTGGAGAAATCTGCTGCTACCTTTATTTTTTTATTTTTCTTTTTTTTAAAAAAAACTTTATTTGTTCATAGAGAGAAAGAGACAGAGAGAGAGGCAGAGACACAGGCAGAGGGAGAAGCAGGCTCCATGCAGGGAGCCCAACATGGGACTCGAGCCTGAGGCTCCAGAATCACACCCCGGGCTGAAGGTGGTGCTAAACCACTGGGCCACCAGGGATGCCCTGCTGCTACCTTTGTCTTCCCTTGTAGTTAGGGATTTGTTTTGTCTTGCATCTTTTAGGATTTTTTATCTCTACATTTTGCAAATTGAACTATAATATGCCTTGGCATTGGCTTACTTTTGTTGATTTTGATGGGAGTTCTCAGTGCTTCCCGGATTTGGAAGTCTGTCTCCCTTCTCCCTGCCTCCCCCTCCCTCACACACACACATTAGGGGAAGTTTTCAGCTATAATTTCCTCAAATAAACATTCTGTTCCCTTTTCTCAATTTCTTTTTCTGGGTCTCCTATGATAGGAATGTTATGTTTCATGGAATCATGGAGTTTCCTAATTCTACTTTCTGATTTGAGATTTTTCTTACCCTCTTTTGATCAGCTTCATTATTTTCCATAATAATATCTTCTATATCATTTATTCATTCTTCTGCTTCTTCCATCCTTGTGATGATTGCATCCAGTCAGTTTTGAATCTAAGATACTGCATTTTTAATTTTGGTCTGATTGGTCTTCAGTTGTTTTTTTTTTTTTTTAAATATTTGTAAGGGACACCTTGATCTTTTGATGTCTTCTATGCTTTTCTCAAGCTAAGCTAGTATCCTTATGATTGTTTTAGGTTCTGGATCAGGCATATTACTTTTATGTTTCCATTAGATCTCTGGCCATGACCTATTCTTGTTCTTTCTTTTGGGATGAATTCCTCCATCTTGGCATTTTGTCTAGGTCTCTGTCTTCTGTGTTAGGAAACCTCTTGTTTCCTGCTCCTGAAAGTAATGGTTTTATCAAGGAGGTCATACATTGTCCAGGATGTGGTGCTTCAAGAAATGTCTCTGGTATATGCTGTGTGCACTCTGCTGCTGTGTTATGGTTCCTCTCTTCCTCAGGTTGGTCCTCTGCAGGGTTTCTCCTTGCCTGCAGTGGGAGAGTTTAGACTTTGGCCAGAGTGTGGCAAGTTTTAATTAGGTATGCTCTGGTCTGCTTGTTAGAATAGACTTGAAGCAATTTCCACTAGAGCTGAAGCTCTGCAGCACTCTGTGGCCGGTAGACTTGGTGTATGTGGAGGTTTGTGCTGGTCTTCAGAGGGAGGGGTCCACTGTGTTGGTTCTCAGGCACACTTGCTCAAGGAAAGCTGTGCCAGCAGAGCACAGCACAGCAGGTGTTGGTGTAAGCAATTTAAACAGCCAATGTTGGTGCTGTGTTGTTTACTTAGGAGCATGGAAGAAAGATGGTACTGGCCAGCTCTTTTGTCCCTGGAGAGGGGAGTTCATGCTTGCTACTGTCAGGGAAGCCATCACTGAGCAAATAATTTATCCTTATGTGCCACAGGTGTTTTTCAGATTGCTGTTTTCACTGTGTCTGAGTTGCTTGCCCACCTGGAGCAGGACAGTGCACTTTGGGCTCTATCCCAGCCAGGCTGGCTGAGTGCTTTAAAACTCCTAATTTTAGGGACCTGGCATGGTGGGGACCCACGCTGATCCTCTGGGGAAGGGTCTCCCTGCACTGGGATGGATACAGGTTTGACTCTGTATGGCAGTTTTACTAGAGTGCAGGAGGGTGGGGTCTGGAGCAAAAAGCACTAAAGAGCCAGTGTCCAGGTTAGCTGTCCTCAGCAGGTATCTGTACCCAGTGCTGAGGGGTGGGGGAAGATAATGGTGCCCATCAGCTCCTTTGTCCCCAGAGAGGCAATGCTGCTGGTCTCAGATCCACTCCTGTCTTTCCCAGTGTGTCCCAGGAAAATCCTCAGATTGGCCCATCTACCCCAGGCCTTTGCCCTCCTTCTCAATAGGAACACTGAAGTACCCTCCACAGCTGCCATGCTGCAGACATCTAAAACTTCAGTCCTGCTGGCTGTCCCTTGAGTTTTCTCAGCCAGTGGCTTTGGGGAAAGTATTTTCCTTTTGCCATCTTGACTCCTCCCCTTCAAAGCATCCACAATCCTTTTTCCCCAAACCACATCTCTGCATCACCTACCTTCCACAATGTGGCCACCTCTCTCCTAGTTGTGCAGTTTGTTCTGTCAGTCCTTATACTGATTTCCTGGGTATTCAAAATGATGTGGTATCTATCTAGCTGTGTTCAACGGATGAGGCAAGCCTACAGTCCTCCTACTACTCTGCCATCTTAGCTCCTCCATTATGTAACATTGTTAACACTGTTTATATTAGCTTTAACTTTAGTGATCAAAGGAATTTTCTTTTCTCCACACAATAAAGAAAATTAGAGAACAGAAAATGAAATGTTTAGCTGTTTTTTCTCCATGAACACTTATTTCATATCATTTCTCTAATTTTGAGGCAAAAATAAACAGATATTATCCAAAGGTAGTGTTTGTTAATTGATTGACATTTTAAGAAATAAAAGTAAAAATTTTAGTGACTAACGCCTTATCTATTTAGGCATTATTTAGAAACTGTCTAGATTTCCAAAGATTCTTTATTAACTTATTTACATAAGATCAAGTTAATTGAGAGAAAAATTTAATGCAGTTAACAAATTTTGACATGTATACACTTATAAAGAAGGACAGATGATTTAGACAGTAACTTGGAGGCTTTAAAATTTTATCAAGCTATCTAATCAAAAAGCCCATACTTGGGGATCCCTGGGTGGCTCAGCGGTTTGGCGCCTGCCTTTGGCCCAGGGCGCGATCCTGGAGTCCCGGGATCAAGTCCCATGTCGGGGTCCCGACAGAGAGCCTGATGTGGGACTCAATCCCTGGGACTCCAGAATCACTCCCTGGGCCAAAGGCAAGTACTAAACCACTGAGCCACCCAGAGAGCCTCAGCTGTGCATTTCTCTACACATAACAGGCTGCTCACTCAAAAAGACAGTCACAGAATTTGTTGAATTCAATTAAAAGAGAAAACAGTATTTTTAAAAAGTCAATAGTTATTGCTAGGTGACATCTGAACCCAGATATTCAAATAACACCATTCTTGCCCATTCTGCAATGAAATCAGAGGGAAAAAAGAGAAAGACCAAATAATAGCAATGAAACCTCCAAGGCTATTTAAGGAAGAATCACACCATGTTTAGACAGTGAAAATGACTACTATTTAAAATATATTTTAATGAGAACACTTTCTCACTACCTTTAAATGATTTATATTTTTAAATATGAAATTGCTCTGCAATTAGGACTTAACAGCTTCCTGATCTACAGGGTTTAGATGCCACCGCACTATTAATTCCCCAGTGCTCTTGAGGCACGTGTTAGACATGTCCTCCTCTGTTGGAAGTCCCTGTGGCAGCTTCAGGGGCTTGATCCTGTGACATAAGAATATGCTTTTAGAATCATACTAGGCAACAAACTGTTAAAAATAGCTGAAGTAATGAACAACAAACCTTATCAAATGCTTAACCACTTTCAGTTTTGCATTCACTGAAGGGATATTCTTGTGAACTTGAGGAGTATGTGCCTATAAAGAAAGGAAAAAATGTAATGGATCAGTTACAAAGCAGATGATCCCATGTTGCCTACAAAATGTTAAGATGAAGACTTATTCTGTCTAAATCAAAGTTTCAAATAAATTACACTTAAATAATACATTTAAACAAAAGAAATAATAAAATATACCTTTAAGTTTAAAAATTATAAAGTTTAAAGCAAATTTAGGCAACACTTAAGAGGACTTAAATAGTTGCATACTTTTTCTAACCCAAGCATCTTTATTATATCTTTTTCCCAATATGGACGTCTCTTTGTACTTTTTATTCTGGTAACAATATGCAGTTTATGAGGGTGCTGTGGATCCCCACCATATTTTTCATGATCTGCAGGTGAAGGTTGAAATACCTAAGAAAGAAAAATTATAAACAGTAAATTTTCAACTTACACAGTTTCTGCATCTTTTTTCTTAAAAAAAAAAACAAAACCAAAAAACCCAACCAAACAAAAACCCAAACTACATAATGATCTCATCTCAAATCTTTCTGTGATCCTCATCCTCAAATTGAACATTTATACCAGTCTGATTACTTAGACAAACTCTAAGAATTTAGAAAATTCTTACTCTGAAAAATTCTGTACTCTGAAAAAAATATCACATAGGCAACAAATTGTTTTATTTAAGAGTGAAGCAGGAGCAACCAGAGGACACTAAAGACTTCAAATGCCAGGACAATGTATTAGCACTATATAAGCTGGGTGTGGCTGTATCCCTCCCCTCCATTCAAGCAGGGGAACAAAAACTAGCGTAAAATGAAAATAACACGAGTATCATAAGAAAATAAGTACAGAGTACTTGAAGAGTACAAATGACTGCCTATGAAGGATTAGAAGCAGCTCCACAGAGCTGCCATTTGAACTGATTCTCTAAGAATCAAAATGTTCTAGTTAGCTATCCCAAGAAAAACTTCCCTCAGAACATAAAATGTACTGAATAAGAATGTACATGGTAACACTATTTGTAATACTGAAAAAACTAAAGGCCACATCCATGTTCCTCATGGAATAACTAAAAGAATTACAATGCATACATTCTAAACAAAACGAACAAACTAATGATAACAAATCCAAATAAAATATGATACAACTAAATAAATTATGATGTATCCCACGGGATACAATGCTGCCATTAAAACAAAAAGGTATACTATTTTAGCAGCTACTAATGTTGAAGGATTGTCATAATACATTCTTGAGGAGAAAAGAATTCCACACAACCATGTGTAGTAGGATCTTGTATTTGTTTTATCTGTACCAAAATACATGGGTGTGTATGTGATACATTACATAAATACCAATTCTAAGAAATCATGTTATATACACACACACGTATGTATGTATAAACATCTCAAAGACATTAAATCAATAGTCATACCTCTGGGGAATCACAACAAGGAAACACATACAAAATATGGTACTTTAGTCAAAAAGGATATAATTTAATCATAAAAAATAATATTGTAGAAACTTATCCACTGAGAGAGTCCCATTATATTGCTAAATGAAGAAAACAACTAGAGAAGCATTATACATGAGATGATTCACATCTTTAGGAACCTACAACAAAATAGGATGTGGAGGGTAGGGTGTTGACAGTCTCCAGGTAGGTAAGATTAAGGGTGCATTTCAGTTCTTTTTGTTCCTTTGTATTTTCTAGGGGTTTTGAAGAGATGCAGGATGAGAAGAATGGTGACAGACAGAGAACGGGGCAGGCACACCAAAGAAAAGAAGATACAAAGAACCAGTGATCAAGAAACAGTATAAAAAGCATCAAATATTTGGGAAAACTAAGTGATTCTGTGTAGCTGGAGTAGGAAAAAACCATGAAAAGCAATGTAGGGGATGAGGTTAAACTATTCAATTGTGCTGAGCCTGGCAGAGATTTTCAGAAGCTACTTAAGCCATTACAGATTTGAAGAAAACATGACTAAAGTTTTGAGAGACTCAGAAAGAATATACTCAAAAGAGGATAAAATGGGGTGGGAGTGGGAGTCTGGTACTAGGAAGCACTTGTAGCGGTGGTTTAAGAGCCTGAACTACAGAAGCTCCAACAGAAAAGGGACTCATCTGGGGACTCTGAGCAATAAAATTATAGATGGGTTTGTACTAGATGAAGGAATAGGAGGGGCTAAGATGGACTCAGGGGTCTCTGGTCTGGGAAATCAGGCAGAGGATGGTAGCATTAATTGGTATAACTAAGGCCAAGTATCCTCTTTTGTTTGGTTGTTTAGAGATAAAGTAAAAAGATAAGTTTCATTTTAGATAGGTTTAACCTGAAATACCTGAGTTATCAAAGAACTGGGTCTAGGGATCATTTGAGAATATAGGAATAGATTCAGAATACAGGCAAGTACTAGAGGTACACATCTCAAGAGTCATTTCCATGAAGTTTGAGTTTTCACATTTGCTACAGATGGCAAGCAAAATCACTGCTTTGCACATTTTAAAGGAATGGTAATATTTGTATCTATGCTTTTATTCCAGAACTTTACAGACTAAGAAACAGGAAAAGATTTAAGACAATACAGTTATGGGAAGGATAGCAGCTGAAAGGCCATACCTGAAAAACAAAGAGGTTTCTGATAAGAGAACATCAAGCATATTAAGGGTGTCGAAACCGTCAAAGTAACAGTCAACAGATCAATATTATTTGATCTTTAAGAAAAAGATGGGGGCACCTGGGTGCCTCAGTTGGTTAAGCATCTGCCTTTGGCTCAGGACATGATCCCGGGGTCCTGGGTTTGAGTCCTGAGTCTGGCTCCCTGCTCAGTGGGGAGCTTGCTTCTCCCTCTGCCTCTTCCCCTGACTCATGTTCTCTCTCTAGCTTGTACTCTCTCTCAAGTAAATAAATAAAATCTTAAAAAAGAAAAGTTAAATCAATGGAGAATGGTGGTTGCCAGGGGCTGGGGGAAGGAGGGAGTGGGTAGCTATTATTTCATGAGAACAGCGTGTCAGTATTGTAAGATGATGAATTCTGGAGATGGATGGTGGTGATGGCTCTGCAAGACAATATGAATGTATTTAATACCACTGAAACATATACTTACAATGGTTAAGAAAGTACATTTTATATATATTTTGCTGCAGCACAAAAAATTAGGGGGAAAAACACAAAAAAACCCAAGCTTTAAAAACTAAATGTCTTTTCCATATATACCATCAACTGCATAATTACATTCTTAGGTATTTACCTCAAATGAGTTAAAAACTTATGCCCACACAAAAACCCACATGCAAATGTTTACAGCAGCTTTATTCACTGCCAAAAATTGGAAGCAATTAAGATGTCTTTCAGTAGGTGAATGGCTAAACAAACTATGGTATATCAATACAACCAAATGTTATTTGTAGTAAAAAGAAATGAGCTGCACAGGCATAAAACTCAGGTTATAAAAATATAGTTTTCATTATTTCTATAACCTTGTTTGATTTCTGAGTCTCCAGTCACTTTAATGGAAAATAACTTGATCTAATTCATGTTTTTCCTTAATTCTATCCAGCTTTTTTTAGTTAACTCATGATTTATCATTCTTTTGATTAAATATAGTTAACAAATACATAAAAAGCTATCAATCATGGTGGTAAGACATTAAGACATCACATGGCATACTGCTATGTGAACATAGCCAATGTGAAAGAACTACATACTGTAGGATTCCAACTATATGATATTCTGGGAAAGGCAAAACTATAACGACAGTCATTAAAAATATCAGTAGTTGCTAGAAGTTGAGAGATGAGAGGGAGGGATGAACAGGTGAAGCGCAGAGGATTTTTAGGGCAGTGAAACTATTTGTATGATACCCTAATGACACAGGATACTGTGTATTTGTCAAAAGTCATAAAATGTATAGCACTGACAGTAAACTCTGGCACAATCTAAGAACTTTGGTTAATAATAATCTGTTAAAAAAATAATCTGTTAATACTGGTCCATAAATTCTAATAAATGTATTAGAATGTTAATTATGTTAACAATTAAAACATTAGTTATAGGGTAAACTATATATGTTGGGGGAGGAAGTAAACAGGAACTCTCTGTACTTTCTGTTCAGTTTTTCTAAGAAATAAAAGCTGCTCTAAGAAACTACTCTAAGAAATAAAGTCATTTAAAAAAATGAAACAAAATAAAAATCAATAGAATGCTTAGCTAGTGTTTTCTGAAAGAATGACATGTACACATAAATCTAGCAGGAAAAATCAAAGATCCCAAGTTGCAGTAGTCAATACAGAAAGTGAACACAGAGCTACAATGACAGTGTCTGAGCAGGAAGAAGGCTCATTGTTTTCTGAGGACAATGGTGATTGAAAACACAAAGTATTAAGGCAAAAAAACCCAAGCAGGAATAAACAAATTCTAAGATGATAAAAACCTACTACTACAAAGGCCAGTGGCACATTTTTTTTTTTTTAAAGTCTTATTGGCACTTTTTTTTTAAAGTCATTATTTAGATAAATTCTACTGCCAACATCCAGAAATAATTTAACATAAAAGTTTTCAATATTACAAAAGTAGGTACCTTTTAAACCATCGCATGCTTAAAAAGATAGTAATACTAAAAAAACCACCCCAAACCCTTCTTACTTTATCCGGAATTCTTGACTTTGTAAATTTGTGACGAATCCAGTCTGTACAAATAAGAGGCTCCACACCTTTTGTCACGGTCTAAAGCATGAAATAAAACAATTTTTTAAGAACTCTGGTTAATGCAGAAATCCATACCCATCAATTTGTAGGTGACAAAAGTCACATTAGAAAGCAAAAAGCACGTAAATACATACTTTTCCATGTTTTTATTTAAATTCCAGTTTCTTTACATACATTGCAATATTAGTTTCAGATGTGGAATTTAGTGAATTCACCACTTAACACACAACAGTTGGTGCTCATCACAAGTGCCCTCCTCAATCCCCATCACCCATTCAACCCATGTTTTTCCCCTGGCAGCAACCCATAGTTTGTTCTCTATAGAGTCTGTTTTCTGGTTTGCCCTCTCTTTTTTCTTTTTGCCCCTATGTTCATCTGTCTTGTTTCTTAAACTCTACATATGAATGAAATACAGACTTCTTGAACAGGAGTTTGGAATATTTTTCTGTATAGGGCCAGATGGGAAATATTTCCAGCTTTGGGCTGTCCAGTTTCCATTGCTGACTTTCAACTCTGCCTTGGTAGGGCAAAAGGGGCCCCCGAACAACAAGGATGGGGGTGGCTACATTCCGATGAAACTTGATTTACAAGAAAACAGGTGGCAGACTGAATCTGACCTGCAGATGTTTGCCAACCCCTGCTCTACACAATGTGCAATAAATCACCTTCAACAATACAATGTAAAAGGAAATGAGTTTCTGGTTTTCTTTCTAGTCCCTACAATGCCATCACTCCTTGTTCCTATCTCTTGTTCCCTTTCTATAATCTTCCAGTCCCCTTGCTCTCAGTCTGCTACAGAAAAAGGAAATAATACTGATCAACAGAATTAATCTAAGGTTAAGGTAATGCATGTAAAGCATTCATAGCCAGCAGGAGGTCTGTATCTAGACTCTGCCCCTCTGAACAGATTAGCCTGAGCTGCTGCAATTTGTGTAAGAGAGACTAGAAGGAAATATATGAAAATACAAGCATTAATGGTCTCTGGGAGAATGCTTTTCTTCTTTCTGCTCTTTCATAGTGTTCTATTTTTCTATAATCGAAAATATACTTTTTTTCAGAATTAAAGACAAAAAAACCTTAAAACTTTAAAAAATTAAGGGGAATCAACACTGGCCATTTTTACTAGCATGTTCTCTGGGAAAAGATCTTTTGTGATTTCAAATCTTTAGTGATAAAAGAGCAGATAAATCATAAAAAAAGTTGGCTCTTAACATTAAATAAAAACTTAATACACACACAAAAAAGAACTTATGCAGTTTAACTTGCCTGTTTGTTTTGTTAATCACAAGAGAAAAAAATAGTTATTAAGGAATTAAAATAAGATAATATTTGAAAAGAAACACTTACTTGGAGTCGGCCTGGGGGCCTCCGAATTATTGAGCACAAAAACCCTGCCATGATTGTGCTGACCTTTCTCTTCAGGGGCTATGACAAGCAGAAATAGATCTGTGGGTCAAATGTGTCTTGGAAATGGACAGGTGCTCACTTCTGTATTATTAAAAAACTAAACAACAAGTTAATTATAAAACTTATAGTTTAACAGTAAAATCTTATTATTTTAATACAATAAAGGTAAGAATTAAGTTATAATAAATGTCTTATTTGGAGTTCAGCAAAACCATAGGTAGTAATCATATATTAACCACAACTCATTTTTGCCAAATGAGTTAGAAGCTAGGTTGACTCGACAAAAATGGGCAAAGGAGGCTACTATTGTTTAAAATTTTTTCTTCAACAATGAGCACAAAGAATGCTTTGTTATAGAATCACAAAAAATGAAAGGGCTAGAAGGACTGAAGAAATCCAGACCCCTCGAACTAGATTTAACAACCTTCTTATCTCAGGTATGTGGGGAATAAAAATTCAATCATTTACCCAAGGGCATCCAAGGAATATAGTCTGGAACCCAATTCTCCTAATTCCCAATCCAGCATATTCTCACTAAATCATAACACCTTTGTCTTAAAAAGTAAGCTGTAACTTTCTTTTTTTGCATGTTTGTATTTTTAAACTATTCTTAACAAATATGCATTGCTTCTAGGATGTAAAAAAATGTTTTTTGAGTCGCACAACTACAACCTACTATACTGATGTATACTGAAAACAGAAAGATTAGGTTTATGAGCTACATGTTTATTTTGGGTAGGTCACTTAATTTGTGTGCTTCAGTTTTTTTCCCCAAAAGAATGAAAATAATATCTATCTTGCAAATGAGTTATTCTGAAAACACCTAAGACAGTATTTAGCACATAGGAAGCCCTCAATAAATGGTACTTATACTATGATAAAATTATTAAATTATTACAAAGCTGTAATAAGAATATCCTAATGCACCAAAATAGGATATAATGCTGTATTTCAGTGAATCCACCAGATTCTGGCTCACTCAAGCTCTTCAAGCCTTTTCTGTGATATGGACAAAGTGATGAAGTTGTCGGAATCAAAGGAAGATGTTTCATTAAAAGAGCCAGACTTTAGAAAAATTTTCAGCAACTGAACCACTCTCTCAAAATTAACTATGTATCAGTTTTAGAAGAGTTAACTACTAAATCCTTAGTGCCATGAAAGCCAGAATTTTGTCTTGTTCATTTTTTACTCTCCGCATCTAGCACAGTATCTGATGAATAGCAGGCAACCAGTGTTTGTTTATGAATGTCTGAATTAATTAATGGATTAGATCTATGGTCTGCTCAACTCAGAATTCAGAAGTACATCAAAATTTCACGACTCTCATTCAGACTTCAGACTTCAAACATTACCATACAATTTAACAACTTCTAGTTCAAATCAATATTTAGTCAAATCATCAGCCATTGCTTGGCTGGTTGTTTAAATACATTTTGTATTAAGGCTTCCTTAGAAGAGACGTTTATTTAATCCTCTGGCCTCCAATCAAATAGGTAATGATAAAGTATTTTCTTTACCATATTTCTTCCTCCAAATTAAACATAATAGACTAACACAACTCATTTGGCTTCACACTTTGTTAGTCTTTTTCTTACCACTTAAATTTCAACAAAAGCCTCCTCATGGCCTTCTGGCTTCCATTCCAACTTCCCTAGAGTCTCTTTTCCGTGACAGCAATCATCTCATTAAAATCCTAAATCTGGGGATCCCTGGGTGGCGCAGTGGTTTGGCGCCTGCCTTTGGCCCAGGGTGTGATCCTGGAGACCCGGGATCGAATCCCTTATCGGGCTCCCGGTGCATGGAGCCTGCTTCTCCCTCTGCCTGTGTCTCTGCCTCTCTTTCTCTCTGTGACTATCATAAATAAGTAAAAATTAAAAAAAATAAAACAAAATAAAATCCTAAATCTGATCATGTCAACTCTTCTCAAAACCTCCAACTGCTGGAGTGAGAAGTAACATACAAGTCAAAAGGAGAAAGCAAGAATAACCCATGTGATCCAATGGCACAGGATTCGAGTTCAAGTTCATGGTTAGCTAAATAGAGAGACTGATGGATGTAGAAAATAATCACAGACACGCATGTATACGTCGGTTAGCTCTGTTAGCTAACAAGAGCAAAAAGCAATGGCATCCTAATAGCAATGAGCATACCCAACACCTGATCTTAGTATTCTCTAATAAAAGAAACCAGGCCTCTGTGGAGAAATGGCTGATTGTAGGGCTACAGCAGGGAATATACAGAGATGAGCTTGGAGCATCTTGTAACACTTGAAAGGAACTACTCAAAAGTCAAAATGATGGGAGAATGTCAAAGGGACATAGGACCATGTCAAAGAGCTCCTAATAGCTAAGGCTAGACCAATATAAGCAACAAAGTAAGTAATAAAGTACTGGCTTATAGTCCAAACCATAAAATACATGATTCCATAGTCATACAAATAAATGAAGAAGTAAATTAATGGTAGAGAAGAAACAAATCTCTCTTACACAAGAATTCCAAATAACTTAGGCAGATACTTCCCTTTCAAAGAGGTGGAGCAAAACCATTCATCTCTCTCTCTCTCTCTCTCTAAGATTTTATTTATTCATGAGAAGCTGAGAGAGAGAGAGAGAGAGAGAGAGAGAGAGAGAAAGGCAGAGACATAGGCAGAGGGAGAAGCAGGCTCTATGCAAGGAGCCCGATGTGGGACTCCATGTGGGGACTCGGGGATCACGCCCTTGGCCAAAGGCAGACGCTCAATAGCTGAGCCACCTAGGTGTCCCTAAAACCATTCATCTCTTAAGTATGGGCTATGCTTAATAACTTGCTCCCAGAGAACAGCACAGAAAGGAGAAAAAAATAACTGTGTACTAGAGAAACCTCACACTGTGTCAGCCAGATGATTATGGTTTATATCAACTGAGATAAAAGTCAAGTTGATAGCATGCACCCTTGATATGATGGAATGAAAATGGCACTTCGTGTCTGTGTTCTTCCCCATAACCCTGAACACCAGGCTGAGAGAAAAACATCAAACTCCATTTGATGGACATTGTGGAAAATATCTGACCAGTATCTCTTCAAATAATTGAGTGCCTTTAAACTGTCAAGGTCACCAAAAACAGGGAAAGTGAGAAACTGCCATAGTCAAGAGAAGCCTAAGGAGAAATGATGGCTAAATGGGATTCTGAAAGAGTAAAAGGACATTTAGTAAATACTAAGAAATTCAAATGAAGTATGTTAGTTAACAATGTATCAATATTGGTTCATCAATTATAACATATGTACCATACTAATGTAAGATGTTAATAAAAGGGGAAGTCAGGTGTGGGGTATATATAGGAACTCTGTACTATCTTCACATTTCTATAAAATCTATATTATTCTGGGCAGCCCCGGTGCAAAAAAGTTTATTGATTAAAATAACAAAAAGCTCTAATGCATTGGAGCGACAGCCAGTCCTCAGCCTCCACTTCTAGGACCTCACCTCCAATCACTCTTAATACACATACTGGTCCCCTTCCAGGCCCTAGAAGTTGCCAGGCACTCTTTTGGACTGGCAGTTCTTTCTCCTGGAACGCTCTTGATATTCACAAAGTTAATTTCTCTTACCTCTTTCAATTTTTGGCTCAAATCTTTTCTCAGTAGGGTCTATCCTTATTCCATTACTTAACAGTTTGACCCACCCCAAAATTGTCAAGACTCCTTACACCACCTGATTTTCTTTCCATAGCACTTAACAATTTGTTAGGTTTTTGTTTACTGTCTCCACCCAGTAACATGTTCATTCTGCAAGGACAATGATTTTTAAATTGTTTTTGGTTTGCCCCATCTATTCAGATGTATCCCAAGCATATACCTAAAGCATATACCTGTCATGTACTAGGCACTCAATCAGTTTTCATTGAATTTAGTTTAATTTACAGACTTGAGAAGGTGTAACACTCGCCATGCCTGGGTGGCTCAGTGGTTGAGCGTCTGCCTTTGGCTCAGGTCATGATCCAGGGTCCTGGGATAGAGTCCTGCATCAGGCTCCCCACAAGAAGCCTGCTTCTGTCTATGTCTCTGCCTCTCTCTCATGAATAAATAAATAAAATCTTAAAAAAAAAAAAGAGGTGACAGTCAAAAATTCTAAGTTTTAATAAAAAGTAAAGGTTATCGTTAATAAGGCACAAAACTCTTGGATCTTGAAATAACTATACTGTCTCCTACTGTACAATAACTTTTCTTGTACAGGTGCAAAAGAAGGAAAATGCATCATGAGAAGTATGATCTCTTTTCCATTAAAAAAATGTCTGTGGGGGCAGCCCCTGTGGCTAAGCGGTTTAGCACCGCCTTCAGCCCAGGGTGTGATTCTGGAATCCCTGGATCGAGGATGGAGTCCCACATCGGGCTCCCTGCATGGAGCCTGCTTCTCCCTCTGCCTATGTCTCTGCCTCTCTCTCTCGCTCTGTGTCTCTCATGAATAAATAAATAAAATCTTAAAAAAAAAAAAAGAAAGTTGAAATTAAAAAAAAAAAAAGTCTGTGAATGAATGGTGGCAAATATTCCATTTTTGCCAGAAGTTTGTCGCTGGGAACGCTGTGGTCTCAGACGTGGTCTGATTTTCCTACTGGATTCTGAGTTTGCGGGTCGCAGTCTCCTAAGTGGGCCTGCGCCCGGGTACCGTCCCGGGGTCGAGCGGATCCTACTTCCCAGCTCCGGAGCCACGCGGCTGATGGAGCCCGACTCTGGGAGCCCGAGAGCCGAGCCGCCCAGGCAGGACCCCCCCTAGAGGGAGAGGAATGTGTGTGTAAACACAAACTCTGGAAGGCTATCAGTAAAATGCTAACGTACCCCTGGGGGGTAAGGCTATCAAGTGATTTTCCGCTTTTGGTTCCCAGTTGTCTGAACAGTTTTATGTATCTATTTAATGACAAAAGGAGGGAAAACATTACTGGAAATGCACAACACAGAATTTCTCTTTCAATAAACCGGTATCTCTGAAGGCAGTAAGTATCTCTTCTTTTAATTCCTAATTTCTAACAAGCCATAGGCAGCCCTCATCCTCATCAGCACCTCTTGGGAAAAATACAAAGCAGAACAGGCAGCTTTGGGTAGGTGGCGATCAAGAAACATGGTTGCAGGGGATCCCTGGGTGGTGCAGCGGTTTGGCGCCTGCCTTTGGCCCAGGGCGCGATCCTGGAGACCCGGGATCGAATCCCACGTCGGGCTCCCGGTGCATGGAGCCTGCTTGTGTCTCTGCCTCTCTCTCTCTCTGTGTGTGTGACTATCATAAGTAAATAAAAATAAAAAAAATAATCCTAGTAACTTAAAAAAAAAAAAACCTGGTTGCAAAATTACAGCTTTTGGTGAAACGGTAAATATTTTAACTGCCAACCTCGGAAGATTTTTGCCTTCTAAAATGCAATTAGGAAAGCTTTTATCTTCATTAACAAAAAATTCAGCTTACGCCGATCCGCAGCGGAAAAACGAAAATAGTAAAACAGAAGCACAGAAACTAAGACGAACGCGACTTCCCTCTCCCACTGGGGGGTCCTGCCTGGGCGGCTCGGCCCTCGGGCTCCCAGAGTCGGGGCCCACCAGCCGCGTGGCTCCGGAGCTGGGAAGTAGGATGCTCGACCCCGGGACGGTACCCGGGCGCAGGCCCACCTAGGAGACTGCGACCCGCAAACTCAGAATCCAATGGGAAAATGAGCCCGGATCTGAGACCACAGCGTTCCCAGGGACATACTCCTGGCAAAAATGCAATACTTGCCACCATTCGTTCCCCCCTCACCAGCTACGGCTAAGTGTGGCTCAGCCTGAACTTGACTCACCGAGGGAGAGGAGAACAGAGGAAGGACCACCTGGGGCTACCGCGAACCCAGCCGTCCGTCCCACTGCGCGCCGACAGCGAGACCGTGCACTTCCGTTCCCGCCACGTCCCGCCCACTCAAGAGGCGCCGAAAGAGAGCGCAGGCGCACTGGTGTCACGTGATCGCTCCCGGAAGCGCCGCCGGCTGGCTGGGTTCTGGGCGGGCTCCCCGCCGCTGGGATTTCGGAACTATGGCGAAGTACGGGAAGGAGCAGGATGCCCAGAGCGTGGCTGCATTCACGGTGTTAAAGCGGGCGATGGAACTGGACTCGGATTCCCGGTACCAGCAGGCCCTGGTGTGTTACCAGGAGGGGATTGACCTGCTCATGCAGGTCCTGAGAGGTGAGCAGGGAGCAGTGGAGAGAGGACTAGATGAAAGGAACTGGATCTCGCTGTGCCTGGGGCGGAGTGAAAGTTAAGAATCCTTGTGCACAACGGGAAAGCAAATACGAATGCAGAAGGCGGATATTCTACAGAACAAGTGGACTGGTTCCGTTTATACCTTGGATAGGTTGATGTCATCAAAAAAGAGGAACTGCACTCTAGATTTTTAAGAGACAGAATAAAATGTGACATATAAGCCTTGATAGGACTAGTTTTGAACGTAAATGTAAAAGACATTTCTGGATCGGTTTGGAACGTTTGAATAGAGATGGGGTAACACTCAAATTATTGACTTTGTTAAGCGGTATGTTTTTTTTTTTCGAAAACTGCCTTTGATTTTTCGAGATGTAGACTTGAGCGTCTTGGAAAGAGTTTGTCACGATATCTGAGTTTAATTTTAAGGAAGAGAAACAATTGGAGCAAATGTGGCAGAATGCTAACAATTCTTAAATCAATGAGTAATAAGGGTGTTCGTTACACAATTATCTTTACTTCTCTGTATAGGCGTTTTCGTTAGAAGTAAACAATAAAAGCACGTAGCGGTAAAATAAAAATTGGGAGAAATTTCAGTGTGTACTGAAATTCGGTGTGAGAAATGCATAGCATTGTGAATGGGGCAGCCAGACTTTATCTGTTGTGTAATTATTCAATGTTGAGAAGTACCCAAATAACCACTAACCAATAGTACAATCCTTGGCACATAGTAGACACTCAGTAATTATATATTATGTGTAATTATATATTATATGTTAAATATATATGTTACATATGTATTATATAAAGCTGGTTTAAGACCAGCCCCTGTTCCCCAAACCCTGGAGCTCCCAGTCTGGCCTAAGAGCACACAGAAGCCTTGAAAGGACAGCAGAGGGCGCTCTTCAAGGGTGAGTGCTTTCGTCAGAACTATAAGAACTACCGGGGTGCCTGCCTGGGTGGCTCAGGTCCTGATCTTGGGGTTCACGGATAGAGCCATGAATTGGGTTTCACGCTTGCGGGGAGTCTGCGTCTCCCTCCCCACCCCCACTCAGGCTCCAGCGCCCACTCTCTTAAATAAAATCTTAAAAAAAAAAAAGAACTATAAAACTATCTTGGAAGAGCCCGTTTGATGATGATAGTGATGATGGTGATAGGAGTAATTATTTATGAGTGCTGAGTGCTGGCACTGTGCAGAGTACATCAAAATCATAATCTTGGGGTACCTGGGTGGTTCAGGGGTGAGCCTCTCTCTTTGGCTCAGGGCATGATCCTGGGGTTCTGGCATCGAGTCCCACGTTGGGCTCCCCACAGGGAGTCTGCTTCTCCCTCTGCCTATGTCTCTCTCTGCGTGGCTCATGAATAAATAAATACAATCTTTTAAAAAAATAAGTCTCACTACAATTAGTAGAGTCACAATGGAACCCAAGGTTTTAAAGACTCTGGTATACTGACTGCCAAAATGAGATAGTGTACAGTGTTGGTCAGATGGAGCATTGCTAAAATTCTGGTGCTCTAGGGTTGTCAAGTGGAGCACTGCTCAAGTTCTGGCACTCTGGGAATCTGAAGCAGGAGAATCCAGTTTTGCTCCAGTGTGCTCCCTGATTCCACAGAGGTTATAGAGACAGTGAGATAATCTTACAGATTAAGGTACAAATGCAAATAACCCACATAGGGAATAAGTGCCAGGAGAGGGTTATAGACAAGTGCAATGAAGATTTAGACAGTTAAAGGTCATTTGGGGGAGGAAAAGTGGAGGTGGCATTTGACAGGGGCTTTGGAGGAGTAAGTAGAATTTCAGCAATGAAATTCAGCTAAGTGTTTAAATTCTGTCTGTGCTGTTTTATTAAATAAGTGGTTCAGTTTGGTTCCAGCATGTGTCTATAGAGAAAGAGTGAGAAGTTAAGTTTAAAGATAGAGTGAGGGATCCCTGGGTGGCACAGCGGTTTGGCGCCTGCCTTTGGCCCAGGGCGCGATCCTGGAGACCCGGGATCGAATCCCACATCGGGCTCCCGGTGCATGGAGCCTGCTTCTCTCTCTGCCTGTGTCTCTGCCTCTCTCTCTCTCTCTGTGTGACTATCATAAAAAAAATAAAATAAAATAAAAGTTAAAGATAGAGTGAGTCTTGGAACACAGAGTGGATGGCCTTGACCATCAGATTTTAACTCATTCCAGAGATGAGGAGAAACCATTTAAAGTTTTTACAAAAGATTGGTGTAATTAAAGTTGCATGTCAGGGCTTGTCTCTATAAGGAATATGCTCTTCTCCTCTCAGGTATTTGTATTTGTATAGCATACTCCTCTTTATACAATTATTACTTTCTCTGTGAAGCCTTCCCTGACCTCCTATGTAAAATTGCAGCCTCATCCTAGGACTTCCTTATCCTTCTTCCTTGTTTTATTTTATTTAATAACACTTACCACAATCTAACATACATACTTACCCGATTTACTTTTCTTGTTGTCTTTCCTCCAACTTGAATGAGAGGGCAATTGTGTCTGTACTAGGCCTGAACAAGCCAGTACATATACTGTGATTAATAAAAGAAGTTACACATAAGGAGAGCAGGAGGGCTAGAATGAACCCTATGGGATCAAAGTTACCATCATGAACTCGTGGTTTAAAAAAAATACACACACACACACACACACACACAGTTGAATAGACAGAAGTAAATGCAGATGTATATATATGTTAGTAACCCTACGTATATTTTCTAGCCATGTTGATTGAAAGAGTCTAGAAGTAGTGACAGGACTTTCCTAGTGGCAACAAGTACACTTGGCACCCAGAATTGGATTTCTTTATACCATTCTCCAACAAAGGAACCAGGGGTTCTTGGAAAAATGGTTGATTCCAGGGCTGGGGCAGGGAAAACACAAGATGAGTTGAAAACATTTTGCACCAGAAAGCAAGGAAGTGATCAAAATTTGAGGAGTCTGTCGAAAGGACAGGGGCCAACATGAAGGAGCTGTCAAAGCCAAAGCTGATAAAATTAGAACAAGAAAATAATAGTATTGCCATTTGCAATGACATGGATGGTGCTAGAGAGTATTATGCTAAGTGAAATAAGTCAGAGAAATACCATATGATTTCACTCATATGTGGAATTTAAGAGGCAAATGAGCAAAGAGAAAAAGAGAGGCAAACCAAGAAATAGATTCATAACTATAGAGAACAAACTGATGGTTACCAGAGGGGAGGTGGTGGAGGGATGGGTGAAATAGGTGATGGGGATTAAGAAGCGCACTTGTGATGAGTAGTGGGTGATGTATGGAAGTGTTGAATTACTATGTTATAACCAGAAAGTAATATTACAATGTATGTTAACTAACTGGAATTTAAATAAAAAAAACAATAGTATTGGATTACAACCCACAGACTAAAATAAATATGCATGAGTCCCATATTGATATAAATTGATCATCGAATAAATAAGTAGATGGGAGGAGGGATAGCTCTTCTTCACAGTAGCATTCCAAGTTTGTTTGTTTGTTTGTTTATTTATTTATTTATTTTTAAGATTTTATTTATTCATGAGAGACACAGAGAGAAGGCAGAGACATAGGTAGAGGGAGAAGCAGGCTCCATGCAGAGAGCCCAATGCGAGACTTGATCCTGGATCTCCGGGATCACGCCCTGAACCAAAGGTAGACACTCAACTGCTGAGCCACTCACTTATCCCGCATTCCAAATTTATAAATTAAATGATAGAATAGGAAATCTCTGTTTGACAGACACTCTAGTGATAGTTGTTGCAGGCAAGGACCATCAATGGGTGCTAAAATTAGTGGATAAAAGTGATGAGAAACAGGGTATCTTCCCACAAGATACTTATCATTTAGAAGGGACAAAATAGTGATTTTACAGTGGAGAAATCTTCGATTACCACATGATCAAAGTTAATGTCACCAGTAGTAACACATATTGACATCATGTACCCACTGAGAAGGGCCTGCTTTGATCATGATTTTTGTGCTAAAAATGTGTAACCTCAATCTAAGCATGAGAAAACATCAATAGCTCCAAATGAGAGACATCCTACAAAATAACTGAGCACTGTTTTCCTCAAATGTCAAAATCATAAAAGGTGGAGAGAGGCCAAGAACCTATACAGATTGGAGGAGAGGACACTAAGAAGACATGATAAGTATATGCTGTGTAAGATCCTGGACCAGAAAACAAACTTTCTTTAGTGGGACAATTGGTGGAATACAAGGTTTGGAGATGAGTTCGTAGTGTTGTATCAGTGTTAAGTTCCTAACTCTGATAATTGTACTATATTTATATATTAGTATTAGGGGAGTCTGGGTGAAAGGATGCTGTACCATTATTGCAGTTTTTCTATAAATACAAAATTGATTCTAAATAAAATATATTTTAATGGGTTAAAAATGAAATTATTATGAAAAAATAAGCAATATCAAAAGGGAGGAATGAAGAAACCAGAAGTGATTTGGTGACCGATTGGGTTTGGGGATTAGGGCTTAGGTAAGATTTTACTGATAATGTATATTAAAAAAAATACCTTACATTTTTGGGATGGCTGGGAAAATAATTGAACATAAACTATAACCAGGAAGTCTAGAAGAGAAACTGGTTTTGTGTAAGAAAGATAACTGTTGGGACAGCCTGGGTGGCTCAGTAGTTTAGCACTGCCTTCGGCCCAGGGCCTGATCCTGGAGACCCGGGATTGAGTCCCACGTCCGGCTCTTTGCATGGAGCCTGCTTCTCCCTCTGCCTGTGTCTCTGCCTCTGTGTGTGTGTGTGTCTCATGAATAAATAAATAAAATCTTAAAAAAAGAGAAAAAGGTAAGTGTTGTTTGCTATGTTTTGATTATGCTAAGATTTCAGACTTGTGGTTGATTACGACAAAACAATTCTTAGACTCAGGTTTGACATGTAATAAGCCACCTTTGTCACCTCACCAAATTTGATGTCCCCAGCTGTGAGACACAGTGGCAGGGTCTCCACTCAATAAAGCTGTTCCAGATGCTTAGTGTAAAAATGAAGGTCTTGCATGATCAAGCCAAATATGAGCACATTAGTGTATTTTAGGACTGAGGCAAACCATGCTTAAGGATAGGAAATTTGTGGAAAACTTGAGAAACTGGAAATAATGCCTGTACTAAATAGAAAAACTATTTGGAAATTTGAGAATGTATTTTTTAATTTGTAGGTACCAAAGATGATACAAAGAAACGTAATCTCCGAAAACAAATTTCTGGCTACATGGATAAAGCAGAAATAGTAAAGAAATATTTGGATCAAGAAAAAGAAGGTAAAGAGGCTAATTTACAGAATGTGTCCGTAAGCTATTGTGACAAAACTCATTTCATCCAATGTTTCTGGCTCTGCCTTTTGGAACTCTGTGGTCTGGACCATTTATCCCTGGGAGCCTACTGGTTTATTCTGCATTTCCACTTCCCTATATGTAAATTATTCTTAACCTTTTTGGGGGGGACCCTGCAGTGGGGAGGTGGTTTTCATATATCTTCTTGAGAATCTGATGAAAGCTATACATACTGCAGAACTCTGCATGGTGTTTTAAGTTCACAGATCACCATGAAGGTAATGTGTGAACTAAAGTTGAAATAATACTGCACAGAAATAGGGAATGTAAATCTTGTATTTTATTTCTATTTTCCTTTAGAAAATGAACAAAATGTTGAAGTAGCTAAAGAAACTCCTGGGACTTCTTTAGGATTTTGCTGTGAATCAAAACATTCCAGGAGTTAAGTATTCCTAATGACTGGAGATGCCATAGGTGTCCTTCCCTACTTATTATTAGTTTTCTACTCATGAGTATGCAGTTTACAAACATATATCTATAAATGATCATCACCACTTTTGCCCGGCATACCTGCTTTTGTTAGCCAAAGTTACTACTGCCCTCAAAAAGCCAGTGCCTCCAGGGGCGCCTGGGTGGCTCAGTCAGGTAAGTGTCTGACTCTTGGTTTCAGCTCAGGCCATGATCTCATAGATCATGAGATCGAACCTGTGTTGGGTTCTGCTCGCAGGCAGCACAGTCTGCTTAAGATTGTCTCTCTTCAAAAAAAAAAAAAAAAAAAAAAAGATTGTCTCTCTTCCTCTGCCCCTCTCCACCCCCTACTCTCTTTCTATAAATAAATAAATAAATAAATAAGTAAATAAATAAAATCTTTAAATTATATATATATATATATATATACATCCCACCAGTGCTTCCAGCCCTCAGCTGCTCTTCCTCACTGTTCTTATATGGCCCTCCCCCACCTCTTCCTAGTATTCTGTATGAGCCCATACCCTGGGTACTCCCCTGCCAGAGCTCCTCTGTTGGGTGGGAATAAAAAGTATTTACTTTACCCTAAATTGAAATGTACAATGAAATTTCCTTTTAAAACCTTGAAAAAAAAAAACCTTGATAAAATATAGTACCATCAACATTGTGGCTTGAATACATTGGGTTAAATTAACCTATGTAGCTAGCTTGGCTTGAAAACTGATACATAGTTGCTGACATATTTGGGGAAATATTAGGAACAGAATCAAACTACTGGTCTTTTTATTTTTTTTTAATTAATTAATTAATTTATTTATTTATGATAGTCACAGAGAGAGAGAGAGAGAGGCAGAGACACAGGCAGAGGGAGAAGCAGGCTCCATGCACCGGGAGCCCGACGTGGGATTCAATCCTGGGTCTCCAGGATCGCGCCCTGGGCCAAAGGCAGGCGCCAAACCGCTGCGCCACCCAGGGATCCCCAAACTACTGGTCTTTAAACAAACTTTAAATATATAACCATCACGTTAGGAACTACCATTAGAGGTCATATTTTTAAAAATCTTAAAGGTCTTTGATAACTAATTCAATAATTATTCATTTCGAATGAACAAAAGCAATGGAACTATCTTACTGATCCTGTGGGATCCTAGTCTTTGGCTTGGGTTGTTAAGAAGTGCTATAAATTTCTGCTTAAAATATTCTATAAGTTCTTCCCTAGAGACTTCAAAATTCCACATAGTATTGCATTTATATGTTTAATACTTTAGCTATTAAATTGCAGGAACATAAAAAAGACTAAAATCTGAAGGGAAGGACAAGGAAGCCCTGGAGTTCTAGCTTATTCTACTCACGGTGACAGTATCAGCTATCATTATACATATGGGCTTCTCTTAGATAAACTGCCTGGTCTGTAGGATTTTTTAAAATTTTTTTTTAAATTTTTTTATTTATGATAGTCACAGAGAGAGAGAGAGAGAGAGAGAGAGAGAGAGAGAGAGGCAGAGACATAGGCAGAGGGAGAAGCAGGCTCCATGCACTGGGAGCCTGACGTGGGATTCGATCCCGGGTCGTCTTCAGGATCGCGCCCTGGGCCAAAGGGTAGGCGCTAAACCGCTGCGCCACCCAGGGATCCCTGGTCTGTAGGATTTGACCCAAGAACCTGTTCCAAGAAATCTCTGGACTTTCCCACTTGGCCTCCATGAAGATAAAAATCACTTATGGGATTGTTTGCCTTATTTATCTCTGTATGTGTAGCATCTTGCTTTGTGCCTCATATATATGTAGTAGGTATTCAGAAATATTTGCTGAGTGGAGGAATTAAAAAAAATTAACTTGTATCAGATCCTGATTAATCACTGTATGTAAATATGTGTAAAAGGAATATAAATGGTCATTGGTTATATTATTGAAATTGTGTTTTGTAGATGGAAAATATCATAAGCAGATTAAAATAGAAGAGAATGCAACTGGTTTCAGTTATGAGTCACTTTTTCAACAATACCTTAATGAAACAGTTACAGAAGTTTGGATACAAGATCCTTACATTAGACAGATTCATCAGGTAGGTGAAATGTACAAAAATATGATGAAATTTTATTTAAAATGTATGAGTTAGTAATAACCTATCCTGATGTCTTTCAGCTATATAACTTTCTTCGATTTTGTGAGATGCTTATTAAGAAACCATGTAAAGTAAAAACTATTCATCTTCTCACATCTCTGGATGAAGTAGGTATCTGGAAGCATTTACTGTTTCTGCATTTACTCTTTCGTCATTCACTTTATTCAGATACAAGATGTAGTTTGAGCAAGGAAAATGTGGACACTGCTTCAGCTAGAACTGTTTCTTCAGGATTATCTAACTACAGGCCTAAAATACCTTCCTTCCAAAAAATGCTGTTGATTTTTTTCCTGATTTTGTTGTACCTTGCATTGGGCCACTTTGCTAAGCTCTTTGATTCAAATAGTTTGTTAGTTTAGTCTCTTGGATGTTCCAGGATATGATCACATGTTTGCACTATTGACAGTTTTGTCTCTTCTTTACCAATGATTATATAGTATTGGCCTTCTGGTGGATCATAGCATAATAGCATCTCTATCTTGATTTTGACTTAAATAGGAATGCTCCTAAATAAACCAGATTTCTAGGATTAACTTGAAAAGAAAGCAGTTCCATCTGAATAACTAAGTAGCATTACTAGGGGTACCTGGGTGGCTTGGTCATTGAGCATCTGCCTTCTGCTCGGGTTGTGATCCGGGGTTCTGGGATGGAGTCCCGCATCAGGCTCCCCATAGGGAGCCTGCTTCTCCCTCTGCCTATGTCTCTGCCTCTTTCTGTGTGTCTCTCATGAATAAATAAATAAAATCTTAAAAATAGGGATCCCTGGGTGGCGCAGCGGTTTGGCGCCTGCCTTTGGCCCAGGGCGCGATCCTGGAGACCCGGGATCGAATCCCATGTCGAGCTCCCAGTGCATGGAGCCTGCTTCTCCCTCTGCCTATGCCTATGTCTCTGCCTCTCTCTCTCTCTCTCCCTGTGTGACTATCATAAATAAATAAAAAAAAAATTAAAAAAAAAATCTTAAAAATAAATAGCATTACTGAAATACATTTTAGGAGATGGGATAGAGTCGTGTTATGTACACGTTAGAAAAAAATTTTGGTAAAAATTGCTGTTAAACTGCTTTATGCTCTGGTTGCTTCTTTGAGATAATAGACTTTGAAACTAGTATAGAATCTTTTCCATTTTAATTCATTCTATGATATGCATTGCATAGCTTAATGATAATTTAAAATATTAGTAACTGAACAGAAAATTGTATCTTTCCTATTTACAGGGTAGTCGGAAACAGCAGCAAAGTAGTGGCCTGCAAGAAATAAAAGAGTCACTCCAAGATCATGGAGTGCTGTTGGAATTAGAATATTCTTCTTCAGTACATGACCGAGAAATTAGGTTAGTGTATAGCAATATTTTAATTTTTATGCAGTTGAAAATATTTTTCTTTTAATAAGTTTTACATAATTACATATAAATATTCAATTTATTAAAATTTTAAATAAAGATTAATTTTAGTATCTTTTCACTTTCGAGAAAAAAAATCTGGCTTATTATGTCTGAGTTTCATGTTTCCTTATGGATTAGAGTTTAAGTGTTCTGTTGCTTTTCTGTTCAATTATACATATAGTGTTATGGTATTGGGATAATTTTTTCTGGTAATAATATTTAATAGTTTGATGATTTTAGTTTTTCTTGTTTATTAAATAATCACATAGGTGTGACAATATGCTATAGTGTCTACAAGGAAACAGTATATGCAGGTATCTTAGTAATAGGTTTGTGGCCTTTATATGTTTAGAGTACTGCACCCTTAGTTTTAATGAAAACTTAAGCATAACCTAAATGCAGTGCTATAGTTGAAGCAGAGGTTGGGATCCAGAGCTCTTCTTCCTTATGTCCTCCATCTCTAGGTAGGGGAACTGCTGCAATACTCCGTAGTCTGCCTGAATACACTTTGTAGAACAGGAAAGTTTTATCAGAAATCTGAAATTCAAGAATAAGATAGAATTTAATTGTTAAACTTGTTACCAGCTAATCAAATCAACTAGTGGTTTCTTTGGATGTTTCATTTCATTGGAAACATAGCCCATGAGTAACCCTCGGTTTGGTTCAACTCATGGTGCTGCAGAAAGTGATTTTCTTTGTTATGAGGAAATGTTGCTGATACTTGCACTATATCTTTGATAATTGTCTGACTCAACTGTCTAGAATATAATACTGTATACTATTTCAATAGGTTTAACAATGGATGGATGATTAAGATTGGAAGGGGACTCGATTATTTTAAGAAACCACAGGTAGGATATAGTCTTACGAGTGAGTATGTTGCACTCTTTTTGTATCATTTTAATAAACTGGCTTTGGGTTTTTTTGTTGTTAAAAAAAAAAACCTCTTTTCTTCTCTTCTTAGAGTCGATTTTCCCTTGGATATTGTGATTTTGACTTAAGACCATGTCATGAAACCACAGTGGACATTTTTCATAATAAGCACACAAAAAAAATATGATGGGTAGTCACCTAATTTGTATTATATATTTCTATTTTAAGTTAATATTGCTTTGTTGTTGTTTTTACTTTGGACAGATCATTCCTATAATTATGAATTTAACAATAAATTTTTATATTTCTAACTTATGGATCCATTGTTCAGTTATGTAATCAAACCTAAATATTTTTATAAATACATTATTTAGTAGATTTAGTGTTTCTAGTCACAAGGTTAATTTAAACATTTTACTAGCTTTTCTCTTATTTGACTGTTGGAGAATGGATCAATAAATAATAAGCACCTATTATGAAGAGGAATTCAATGTTAATTTTGCCCCTGGGAATTTAGAGTCCAGGAAGAAAAATCATGGATTAGAATATTCTTTTAAGAGACAGATGGGCTTGTGCTTCTAATAACCAGGAGGAAAAAAAAAAGTTAATTTTATAACAAGTGTCCCTGGTAGAAATTTACCAACATTCATTTATCCAATATTACCTAACTCCATAAAGGTAAACCAACCTGCTTAGTTGCACAGGTACATTTTACAGGTTATTCAGTCTTGGTTGGCACATTTGTAAAGCTGTGCAGTTTAAAATTAACTGTTTTGGCATCCATCCAGATGCCACTTGAGTGGTTGCGGACAAAGACTAGGTTCCATGGAGATAGGTTGGGGTTGGGGATAAAGGTAGAGGTAACGAGCAGTCTGAAAGCTTAAAGAATAAGCTAAGTCAGTCTGTGGAGGGAAAGAGAAGTGTTAGTGTTAGGGAGTACACATAAAACATCACATCTGGAGAAGACTGAAGATTACATTCAAGATTAAATAGTATGAAAGGACCAAAGCCAGGTAGAAGCCATGGGAATAAGATTGGGCAGAGTGGTCCTGGGTGACTTGAACACCAGCTTTATGTTCTACCTCTGGGAGCCAGCAGTCACCTGACTGAATTGGCATAAAAGACCAAGAAGGGATTCCAGAAAAGTTCCTAATGTTTTTCTTTAATGTTTTCAGGTTCAGGTGCTGGTAATGCTGAACCTGAAAAGACTCAAACCAGTGTGCCAAGCTTTATTATATGGAAATTCAGGGTCTCAGGAGAGCAAGTATTGGACCTAATCAGAAGTTAATTTTCTGCAAAGTATTGTAGCTTATTTTGCCAGGTACCTATCAGCATGTGGAAGTAGAGTGGCTTTTCATTCAGGTGAGAACATGTATTAGACTTTCTTATTTTCATTGTAAAATAACCACTCTGATTTCTGCTAGAGCATATGTATCTATCACTGTAGAGATTCAGCAGTCCACAACCCTGTGAAATTAACTTTTATCCAACCCATATAGGAATCCTGCCTAAGAGATATTGGTATTTAAGGAAGAGTGCCTATCCATTATTTATAATAATGGATAAAGCAATAATGCTCTCCATTATTCTATATATTTGAAATCTATCCCCAGATCCAATTAGAACATCAGAAGACTACTAGATGTAAGTTACTCATTAAATACATCAAGAAATGTGCAAGAACTCTGTGAGTAAACTAAACTTTATGGAGGATTGTAAAAGGAAAGTAGGGAAAAACAAATTATATTCTTGGATGGGAAAGATTAATAAAATATCATTTCTCCCTAAGTTAATTTTATAAATTAATTGACAGAGACTAATGCTAGGAAACTTGCCTGACCAGCTATAAAGACATAAAGTTACGATATATATATATATATATATATATACACACACACACATATATACATATATATATACACACACACATATATATACTATATACTATAGTACTTTATATACAAATATATAGTATAAATAAATATAGTTATATTTATATATAGTTATATTTATATAAATATATACAGTATATATAAAATTTATATAAATATATAGTATATAAATATATACTATATATAGTATAAAGTACTTTTATATATAAAGTTACTATATATAGTGTATATATATATAGCATATATAGTAACTTTATATATACACATTTTTTAAACATATGGGCATAAGAATGGACAAATCAGTGGGATAGAATAAGGGGTCTGAAAACATCTGAGAGAATAAGTGAATGTGTGTATGGGTCCTTAATGCACTACAAAGGTGTGGTTCATATTGGTGGGGAAAGAGTAGATTATTCAATAAATGTTTGGAAAAAAACATTAGATTTCTACCCCACATAGTTATTCTGTTAAAGAGCTAATTAAATGAAAAAAAAAATTTTAACTCCACTAAATGTACGAAGTATAACACAAAACCCAGGAACTATCAAGGAAAAGGCAAAAGATCTGATCATGTATTGAAAATTTGATTAAAAATGATAAAAAGTTAACACGAGATCAAATTTATAGTATATAGAGAAAGGGTTAATAGTACTAATATATAAGGAAGATAGCCAAACTTTTAGGAAGTGAACTCAATCTTACCTCTGTTAGCCTCACTGCCTCACCAAGGAATTTGTCCTTTTAGCCATGACTCCCTTTGCTGCATTGTTTCTGCCAGTATAGACATTCCTAGCCAGATACAACCCACCCTATTTCTTTGTTTTTCATGAACAAACTTCTTGAAGTTCTTTATACGATTTTTTCCAATTACCTCATCTCCCTATTCATATTTCAACTCACTTCAATCAGGCTACCCAGTCACTCCACTGAAATTGCTCTTATCAAAGTCAACAATGACTTCCATCAGTGAGTGCTTCTTAACCTTCATATTACCTAACCTTTCAGAAGTATTTGACCAAGAGAGCCACTCCCTTCTTGAAATTCTCAAATACCATGAAACATTCCTTCTCCTCCATCCTGTCTCTTAAATATTGGTGTTAAGTCATATACTAAGTAGTAACTTTTTTTTTTTAATTTGCACTCTCCCCCAAGTGATTAGTAATTTCTTAGTGAAAAGCAACAGGAACTGCTCTTGATATAAGCAAAAAAGAGATTATAAAGATAGTGGGTAGTTCAGGCCATCACCACCGAGGTACAGATTTGGCCTTGGAAGTTATGCAGCAAAAAAAAAAAACACATCTAGATCACAACACAAAACTAATCAGATGGTACCACTGCTGATCCCAAGGCAAGACCTGGACTCAGTAGTCTTATTACCACTTCTGTCACTTAAATTATCAGAAAGTACACTGCCACTCTCAGTGCCTTGCTACTCCCAGAAATTCAGGCTCCTGGTACTACTGCCAGAGAAGGTTTTCACCATCCCATGTTCTCTGTCATGATGCATTCAGATTCTGAAGCAAGTACATCTGATTGGCAGAACCTAAGACATATGCCCTTACCCTAGATTCAAGAGAGGCTAAGAAAAGAATACAGTGGAAATTTCAATTTCCACAGAGGAGAGTGTTGTTGGTTTGCAACCTCTGGAGTTCCCCAGGTGAAATTCAAAACTGGCCTTCATAAACTCAGTGCAAGGAAAGAATGAAAAAAGAGGCAGACCATTCCAGATTGGAGGGTGGGGTTTAATAACCAAGGGAACTTACATATAAGGCTTTTCTTGGGTGGCTACAAGATTCTGCACATGCTTGCAGAATCTCAAGAGTTCATAGAGGCTTTGATGGAATTCAAGTCACATGTACAATCCAGATAGTCTCAGGAACATATTAGTGTCTCAAGGCTGAATCTTTGAAGTGGCTCCTAATGTTGGAGCAGTGGGTACACATTTCAAGGGCAGGGGAGGGTGTAAAGAGCCTCCGATTGCCCATATTCAGTTCAGGGGTCAACTGGCATCACATCCTCTTGATGACCTCTCCAACAAACCAGGTTTGACCTCGCAGCAAAGTTTATAAGGTGGAGGTGACTCAGGTGCTAAACACTTTAAGCTTTAAATGAATTATAAAAGTTCACAGTTACCCATTTTCATGACTTAAAATTCTATGTATATGCTGTCAACTCCTAAATATATAAAATAAGCCAAAACTTTTCCTTGGAGCTGTGATCTCATATATTCAGCTGCCTATTTGGCATTTCCTGTGGCAACTCAGAAGCACACAGGCATTTCAAATATAGGATGCTGCAACTGAACTTTGGAAACACACTCCCCCACTCCTTGTACTTACTCCCATCCATCCAGTTGCTCAAATAAGAAATCTAGGATTCATTTTTGATTCCTCATTCTCCTTGAACCCCATATGGAAACAGAAAATTCTGCGGGCTCCAGCTGCAAAACATACCTTTTCTATTCAGGTGATGCTTGTTAAATTGCCCTTTTGTTTTTTTTTTTTTTAATTTTTATTTATTTATGATAGTCACACACACACACACACAGAGAGAGAGAGAGGCAGAGACACAGGCAGAGGGAGAAGCAGGCTCCATGCACCGGGAGCCCGACGTGGGATTCGATCCCGGGTCTCCAGGATCGTGCCCTGGGCCAAAGGCAGGCGCTAAACCGCTGCGCCACCCAGGGATCCCTAAATTGCCCTTTTGGAACCTGAAGCTCTTAACACCTTTCACCTGATGGTATCCTCGCTCTTGAGAAACAAATGGTATCAGAAAATCAGGAGTGCTTTATTGCCCCAAAGCATACCCTATCAGGATACCTTTCTTGGAAAGTAACTTTCACGCAGCAAATGTAATGCTTAAAAAATATGTCCATGATAAATCTCTTCAAATTGTTTATTTGCCGTTTAATATTGCTGTAGAAGAACAGAAGGACCTGCCTGTGAATCCTGCCTCAAATGAAGAACAGTTAGACTGTCATTTGTGTTTGTCTCAGGGGTCACTTGAAAAGCAAAATCCCAGGGTGCTTGGGTGGCTCAGTGATTGAGCATCTGCCTTTGGCTCAGGGCATGATCCGGGGTCCTGGGATCCAGTCCTTTATCAGGCTCCCCAGAGGGAACCTGCTTCTCCCTCTGCCTATGTCTCTGCCTCTCTCTCTCTCTGTGTCTCTCATGAATAAAGAAATAAAATCTTAAATAAAAAGTAAAATCCCCTCCACTTACTCCACTTCTGCTTTGAGAAAACCAGTTGCAGGTGAAACCCTGTTTGTCCACTCCTGCCCACCCCCTTCTTCACAAAAAAAAAGGGGGGGGATGAGATCTGGATCTACTCAGGTACAAGAAAAGAACTCATAAGAGCTAAATCCACATGTTAAAATCCTAACCTATAGTACCTCAGAATGTAACTGTATTTGGAGACAAGGTTTTCAAAGAGTTATAAAGTTAAAATGATGTCTTTAGAGTGGACCCTAATCCAGTAAGATTGATGTCCTTATAAGAAGTGGACATTTTGAGCAGCCTGGGTGGCTCAGCCATTTAGTGCTGCCTTCAGCCCAGGGCGTGATCCTCAAGACCCAGGATCGAGTCCCACGTCAGGTTCCTGCATGGAGCCTGCTTCTCTCTCACCTGTGTCTCTGCCTCTCTGTTTCTCATGAATAAATAAATAAAATATTTTTTAAAAAAGTGGACATTTTGACACATATGCACACTCAGAGGAAATGTAACAGTACCCTAATTGGTCTTAAGGGTTAACGTGCTTCCAGCTTATGCACTCCTTGCTTGCTGACCTAAATCTCAGTTTATAACAGTACTAACCTACTTCCCTTGAGATTCTGTGAAGTGCTGGCCTTGAACAAAGAACCGGACTTTCCAGAAGATAAGGCCTGATCACACTCAAACAGCCACCACTGGTCATGGCATCCTTGATAAGAGACATCTGGGAGCCTTGATTCCTGGTACAGGGGCACTGCTTTGCCAGGACATGGCTTGTTGGGCTGCAGGGCCATGCTTTACTGAGAGACACCTAGGAGCCTTGATTGTTGGTAGAGCAGAGGATTCTGGAAGATTTTTCGAGAACAGATGATTAATTTCTGAGCACCAAGTTCCGCACATAGACCCCTCACCATTCCCTGCACCTTCCCTTTTAAAAATCTGCTTCCCCTGGACAGGGAAGATGGTCTTTGAGACATTAATTGCCATTTTCCCAAGTTGCTAACTTCCTGAATAAAGCAACATTTCATTTGCAACCAACACTTGTCTCTTGAATATTGGCTTTCGAGTGGCGAGTTTGGAACTAGTCCTCTTCCCAATAACAAAAAGACCATGTGAGGACACAGGTAGAAGGCAGCTATCTGCATGCCAAGGTGAGAGGCCCCAGGAGACACTAAACACACCAGGCTTGGGTTTGATCTTGGACTCCCTGGCCTCCAGGACTGAGAAAATATATTTTTATTATTTAAGCCACCTAACCTGTGGTATTTTGTTATGACAGCTCTAGTAAATTAATATATACTGCTTTGTTCCAATAAATGAGTTAAACGTTGCCCTGAAAATGGAAGTCGTCCTTAATTTTTGACAAGTGCTTAACATAATGTCAGCATCTTTCCATGGCTACTGCCAGCATCACCTCTGCTGGGGTTCCTGCAGTTATCTCCCAAATGGCTTTCTGCTTCCTGTCTTCTCTCACTCCAATCCATTCTCCACAGAGCAGACAATAGTCTTTATAACAACTGCAGTGGGGCACCTGGGTGGCTCAGTGGTTGAGCGTCTGTCTTTCACTCAGGTCATGATCCTGGGGTCCTGGGATTTAGTCCCATATCGGGTTTCTTGCGAGGAGCCTGTTTCTCCCTCTGCCTATGTCTCTGCCTCTCTCTCATGAATAAATAAAATCTTTAAAAGACAAAAAATGAAAGCTGCAGTATCACTGCACTTAAAATAAGA